CAAAGAAATTACTTGATTTTTTAATTTTTATTAATGCTAAAACGATGCGTGTCAAAGATATTTCCAACAATACCATTATCTGAAGCTTATTTTACACGACAAGAGAAATTGAAAGAAGGGTATTTTAAAATAATATGAATAAAGAATAACGATACAGTATATTAATCATTTTTAAAATTTAGAATAACGATACAGTATATTAATCATTTTAAAAAAAATTTTCCTTAGAAGTCTAACCCCAGATTTTTTGTGGGACTGAGAGAAAAATGTATATCTGGTGACAAAATTTTATTATTTTTATATTTGTGTGATCTATTTTTTTTTTTAAATTTCATTTTTAATTTTACTTAAGTTGCTAATTTTTAATTTGAATATATGCTGTTATTATTATTATTATTCAATAATTTCTACATCAAGAATCACTTCTTGGTATGAAATAACAACAGACATTAAAATAGAAAAACATTTTAACAACTTAAATAATAAAAAAAGTATAAAAACCCAACGAAAAGATTGACACCAAATACACACTAAATACACAGAAATAGGATTCCATCATACTCCCTGACATGTTAAAGTTTAGAATTTCTTGAATCTTTATATTAAAAATCAATAATGAATGGGCACCATGAAAGGTCAAGCTAAAATCAACAATTCCTTGCTAGCAACTTGAGCTAACAAGTAAAGAACATTAAATATAAATGCAAAGCAGCTTATTTTGAGGTAGAAGTCAAGAAAAAAATAGAAGAAGAAGAATATTAAACTCGTAAAGCTTGTTTGGCAGCGTTTATTTTAGACCAACCACCAGAAAAAAAACTTTATGGTTAATTAAATAATTTCTGTTTTCTTTTAAAGGGCTCGATATATAATACAATTATGCGTGTTTTAAACTTTAATTTTATGAAAGCTAAAAAAATTTATTTTTTTATTTATGAAAACATGTTTTTTATTTATTTTGCATAAAGAAATCTATTCCACGATAATTTTAATAAAACAAGTATTTTTTTAAAATTTATTATTTAAAAACTACAATTAAAAATATTTCTAAAAAATTTATTCTTCAAAATTACAATCACAGGCACACTTATTTTCTGATTTCAATTTTGAAAAAACACAAGTACCGGTAAAATAAATGAAGCTGCGACAGGTACACAAACTTTCTGACATATTGGTTTGATCTTTTCAAGCATTCCTCGGGAGGATGGAAAACAAAAACCTACAAGCTCGAAGCTCAGACAAAATAAGAGTCCATGGAACTACACCGCCTTCTCTCAGTATAAGAACTCTCTCTCTCTCTCTCTCTCTCTCTCTCTCTCTCTGTATATATATATATACACAGAGAGAGAGAGAGAGAGAGAGAGATTGCATTGCCCTAAACAAAATAATTGAAAAGGAAACTTTACTCAAGAATATTAGAAAGGTAACTAGTTAACCCAAAGAAAAGTTTGGTATTCAACAATACCTGTATAAAAAAAAAAAAAAAAACAATACAACGAAAATCAGCAAGGTCAATTTGGTGTTAAATTGCAAGGATCTCAGTAGAAATTAAGCAATGTTATTCAAACGTTTCCTGCGAATCTCACTCTTGATTATGCATGGAGAGGGGACTATTGCTGTTGAAGCAGAGAGCTGCGGTAGGTTGCTTTGGTCGTCATGCTTGTATCGAACCATCATGGCCTTGTGTTGTTCCACGTCACGATCTTCGGCGTCTCCTTTTTGTGGTTGAATGCGTTGAACTGGGCTGCTAACACTCTCTTTAGCAGCTGACGGTGGACGAGGATAGAAGAAATCTGTTGGAAAGAAGTAGTATTGAAGACCAGCCATGAGAGCTCCAAATCTAGAACCAAGTTTGAACTTTTGCTGTGTGTGATTGCTTGTGTTCTTTATGTGTGTATATTTATATGGAGAAGGGGAAGAAGAGTCGGTCCCTTGGCTTGAGCCTCAAGTCCTTGTCTTACACGGAGAGTACGTAGTTGTTTTATAGCAAGAAGGCTTCGAATTTTGATTGTTAATTTGACTTCGGGGAAACTAGGAGTAGAAGCTTCTTTCTTGCGCAGAACTTCATTGATTCCTGTTTCCTTTGAACCTTCTTTCTTCAATTAACTATATGCTAAAAGATTGTGTATTTTTATTATTAAAACTTAAAATCTAGTTCTTGAGCATTCAACTATCCTAATTGAATGTTTTTCTTGGATTCCTTTCATTCATAGTCATCTAGTCGGATAAAACAATTTCAATCGTTAAATCATTCGTATATATATAATCCATTGTTTAATGTTTCACAAAAAAAAGAAATTATTTGAGTGTTATTATAGTTGGTATAAGTATGTTAATTTGTGTCATTCCTGTTGTGTTTAAAACCTGAATAGTATAGATTTTATACTGATTAATTTAGTTTAAAAATGGAAAAATAACAATTTAACCGGAACACAAAATAGGCTTTTAATCAAGTACATTCCTTAAATTTTTAGAAAAAATTATATTAAATACACCGTAATTATACTCTCTTTCCTCGTATGATTATATGACTTGTGAATAATTATCACAATAATTTTTATATTTATGTTATTAAATGATTAGTTAAGTTATGAATAATTTTCAGATATTAATTTAAACAATGTAAATACCAATGAAATCAAACTTGACAGGTGAACTTATAATTCAGTTAATCCATCAAATTTTTTTATTTTTTATTTTATTTTTAAAATCATATTATTTTATTATTTAAAAAAAATCAAAAAAATATTATTTTAAATTAATTAAATTAGCTTATTCGATGCATGAGCTAGGTCATGGACCGCATTTAGCTTAATATCTTTGCCTGTAATTTCTTTGTAGGCGGGCCCAGACGGGCATGTGCTTGATTGGGCAAATTTGCATTCCTAACTTGAGTCTGGCCCCAGGTAAACCGGTCTTAACAAACCTCTGGGCCAATTTGGTTTGCACCAACTGAGCCTAACAGCCATAGAATTCCTAGCCCATCTAAACTAGCCATCATAGACCCTAGCCCCCGAAGCCGCCCAAAACCCTAACCCTATAAATCCACATTTCCATCTCTAAACCCTTCCTCTCTTTTACAAACGTCCCCCAAAACCCTAGAAACTGACACTCCCTTTCTACTAACATTGACCATCACCATGTCTGAAGTCGAGCTTTCTCGCTCTGAGAAGAAAAAACACAAGAAAAAAACCCAAGAAACCCAAACAGACGCTAACCCAACAACAGACACTGACAAAGATTTCATGATCAAGCCCCAAAACTTCACCCCAACGATCGACACTTCACAGTGGCCAATCCTTTTGAAAAACTACGACAGACTCAATGTAAGAACTGGACACTACACTCCACTTCCATCTGGTCACTCACCTCTCAAGCGTCCACTTGCTGAATACATCAGGTATGGTGTTATGAATCTTGATAAACCAGCAAACCCATCATCACATGAAGTTGTTGCTTGGATTAAGAGGATTTTACGGGTTGAAAAAACTGGTCATAGTGGCACATTAGACCCTAAAGTTACTGGTAATTTAATCGTTTGTATTGATAGAGCTACTAGACTTGTTAAATCCCAACAAGGTGCTGGGAAAGAGTATGTTTGTATTGCTAGATTGCATGATAAGGTTCCTGATGTTGCGAAAGTAGCGCGAGCGTTAGAGACACTTACTGGGGCGGTTTTTCAGAGGCCGCCCTTGATTTCTGCTGTTAAAAGACAGCTTAGAATTAGGACAATTTATGAGAGTAAGTTGTTGGAGTATGATGCAGATAAGCATTTGGTTGTTTTTTGGATTTCGTGTGAGGCAGGGACTTATGTTAGGACTATGTGTGTGCATTTGGGGTTGATTCTTGGTGTTGGTGCACATATGCAAGAGTTGAGGAGGGTGCGGTCAGGGATCTTAGGGGAGAAAGATAATATGGTTACTATGCATGATGTTATGGATGCTCAGTGGGTTTATGATAATTATCGCGATGAGAGTTACTTGAGGAGAGCTATTATGCCTCTTGAAGTGCTTTTGACCAGTTATAAGAGGTTGGTGGTTAAGGATTCTGCTGTGAATGCTATTTGTTATGGTGCTAAGTTGATGATTCCGGGGCTTTTGAGGTTTGAGAATGATATAGAGGCTGGTGAGGAAGTTGTGTTGATGACTACTAAGGGTGAGGCTGTTGCTCTGGGAATTGCGGAGATGACAACTGCTGTTATGGCTACTTGTGATCATGGTGTTGTGGCAAAGATTAAGAGGGTTGTGATGGATAGGGATACTTATCCGAGGAAATGGGGGTTGGGGCCAAGGGCTTCTATAAAGAAGAAGTTGATTTCTGAGGGGAAGTTGGATAAGCATGGGAAGCCAAATGAGAACACTCCTCATGAATGGATGAGAAATCTGGTTTTGCCTCCTGGCGGAGATTCTATGGTAGCTGGAATTGCTGCTGCTGCTGC